TATACAGATGTGACAGAGTGAACAGGCAAAAGGGGGGAGGTTGGCCTGTATATCGCAGAGTCACTTGTTTGCACAGAACTGCTTAATGCCTCAAATTATATAGTAGAAGTTTTAGCAGTAAAGATAGAGAACCAAAACCTAGTCATTGTGGTAGTCTACAAGCCTCCGGATGCAACATCCCAGCAATTCCAGGAACATCTGTTAAAAATTGACCAATGTCTGGAAAATCTGCCAGCTCCTGCCCCCAACATCTTGCTCATGGAAGATTTCAACTTGAGGCACCTAAAATGGAGGAATATAGCAAATAATGTTGTTGCAGTGATAACACCAGGAGGCAGCTCTGACGAGAACTCACACATACACAAGCTTTTAAATCTCTGCACAAAATTCAACTTAAACCAGCAAATAATAGAGCCTACTAGACTGGAGAATACACTAGACCTCATCTTCACTAACAATGATGATCTGATACGAAATGTCACCATATCAAAAACAATATACTCAGATCACAATATAATCGAGGTTCAGACATGTATGTGCGGAGCCCAAGACCGAAAAATGAAATTAGTAACGAGGGAGCCTTCACCAAATTCAACTTCAATAACAAGAACATAAAGTGGGACCAAGTAAACCAAGTCCTAAACGATATAAGCTGGGAAGATATACTAAGCAACACAGACCCCAACTTATGTCTAGAACAGATTAACTCGGTGGCACTCGATGTATGCTCAAGGCTTATTCCTTTAAGAAAAAGGAGATGTAAAATAGAAAGAGACAGGCGCTCCCTTTACAGGCGACGGAAAAGAATAACAGAGCGGCTAAAAGAGGCCAATATATGTGAAATGCGTAGGGAGTCACTGGTCAGAGAAATAGCAAACATCGAACTTAAGCTAAAGGAATCTTATAGGAGTCAGGAATCGCGAGAAGAACTAAAAGCCATAAATGAAATCGAAAGAAACCCAAAGTATTTCTTTTCTTATGCCAAATCAAAGTCGAGAACAACATCCAGTACTGGGCCCCTACTTAAACAAGATGGGTTCTACACAGATGACAGCAAGGAAATGAGTGAGCTACTCAAGACCCAATATGACTCAGTTTTTAGCAAGCCACTAACCAGACTGAGAGTTGAAGATCAAAATGAATTTTTTATGAGAGAGCCACAGAATTTGGTTAACACAAGCCTATTTGATTTATACTGACGCCAAATGACTTCGAACAGGCGATAAATGACATGCCCATGCACTCTGCCCCAGGGCCAGACTCATGGAACTCCGTGTTCATCAAGAACTGCAAGAAGCCCCTATCACGAGCTTTTACCATCCTATGGAGAGGGAGCATGGACTCGGGGGTCGTCCCACAGTTACTAAAAACAACAGACATAGCCCCACTCCACAAAGGGGGCAGTAAAGCAATAGCAAAGAACTACAGACCGATAGCACTAACATCCCATTTCACACAAATCTTTGAAAGGGTCCTAAGAAGCAACATCGCCACCCATCTAGATACCCATCAATTACACAACCCACGGCAACATGGGTTTCGAGCAGGTCGCTCCTGTCTGTCTCAACTATTGGATCACTACGACAAGGTCCTAGATGCACTAGAAGACAAAAAGAATGCAGATGTAATATATACAGACTTTGCAAAAGCCTTCGACAAGTGTGACCATGGCGTAATAGCGCACAAAATGCGTGCTAAAGGAATAACAGGAAAAGTTGGTCGATGGATCTATAATTTCCTCACAAACAGAACACAAAGAGTAGTAGTCAACAGAGTAAAGTCTGAGGCGGCTACGGTGAAAAGCTCTGTTCCACAAGGCACAGTACTCGCTCCCATCTTGTTCCTCATCCTCATATCTGACACAGACAAGGATGTCAGCCACAGCACCGTGTCTTCCTTTGCAGATGATACCCGAATCTGCATGACAGTGTCTTCCATTGCAGACATTGCAAGGCTCCAGGCGGACATCAACAAAATCTTTCAGTGGGCTGCAGAAAACAATATGAAGTTCAACGATGAGAAATTTCAATTATTCCGATATGGTAAAGATGAGAAAATTAAAACTTCATCAGAGTACAAAACAAATTCCTTCCACAAAATATAGCGAAAAACCAGCGTCAAAGACCTGGGAGTGATCATGTCGGAGGATCTCACCTTCAAGGACCATAACATTGTATCAATCGCATCTGCTAGAAAAATGAAAGGATGGGTAATGAGAACCTTCAAAACTAGGGAGGCCAAGCCCATGATGACACTCTTCAGGTCGCTTGTTCTATCTAGGCTGGAATATTGCCGCACACTAACAGCACCTTTCAAGGCAGGTGAAATTACTGACCTAGAAAATGTACGGAGAACCTTCACAGCGCACATAACGGAGATAAACCACCTCAATTACTGGGAGCGCTTGAAGTTCCTGAACCTGTACTCCCTGGAACGCAGGCGGGAGAGATACATGATTATATACACCTGGAAAATGCTAGAGGGACTGCCCGAAATGCCTAGCCATGCTAGGTGTTCTAGTGGTACACTCTGTAATCATTATTTTACTACATGTAAACCACACAATAACCAAATTCTGTAAACTGAGCATTGTAATCCTTACAGAGAATAAACTTTGAACCGAATTGAATTGAATTGAAGTACCGAACTTGCACACGAAAATCACTCACAACGAAAGCAAAAGATTCGGCAGACGATGCAACATCCCCCCAATGAAAAGCAGGGGTGTCACTAGCACGTTAAGAGACAATACAATAAGTGTCAGGGGCCCGAGACTGTTCAACTGCCTCCCAGCATACATAAGGGGGATTACCAATAGACCCCTGGCTGTCTTCAAGCTGGCACTGGACAAGCACCTAAAGTCGGTACCTGACCAGCCAGGCTGTGGCTCGTACGTTGGATTGCGTGCAGCCAGCAGTAATAGCCTGGTTGATCAGGCTCTGATCCACCAGGAGATCTGGTCACAGACCGGGCCGCGTGGGCGTTGACCCCCGGAACTCTCTCCAGGTAAACTCCAGGTAAACAGCCAGTGTAACACTTCCCCAACTCACTACCGGTTCTATTATAAGAGACTACATTCTCTTGTCTCAGTTTCACACCGATCGAAGTTATATACCTGAACACTTACCAAGGGTGAGGAACTGGGGACTGATCACTTATGTACGTTTCCCTCTTCTGTGTGTAGTATGTCGACTAAAGAAGCCTTATGAGCAGGAGAAACGTCAGGGTAATATTGCATCAAACTGTTGCATATATGTTTTACTCATCTACTTCTCAGGAATACATACCGAACCATTAATATAACGAAAGGCCGGGAAAACATAGCCGGTGATGAGAGTGTAATTTAAGAGGCGAGGATATTAGCACAGACTACCACTGCAAAGAACTGAGATAACAAGCGTGAATACAGACACACACGTACGTATACAGATGTAAATGTCTTTTTTTTTTAACTATATGCAAAGTGTAGAATTAAGTGTGGGAGTTGAAGTGGGAGGCGAGCTGGGTCTTAACTACTAGGACTGTGATACTTCCTGGGGATATCATGTTTGATCTTCAAGTCACACACTCACCATCTCTACTTTCCTCACTTCAACCAAGATTCATTCATCTCGTCAACTTCCACTTTCAAATATATTCATTCTTCATTTCAATCTCAGATCGCCTTACGTATAACTCCTTTTTCGTTACTCTATTCCAGATTTAAGTTTCCTACCGTGATTTCTCTATGTAAAGCTTCTCTGTACCCAACTTCCCTTTGAACTCTGCAATATCTGAATATTAAAAAACTTGCTTATGACGAAAAGAAAGGAGAGAGTTGAAAAATAATCGCAAGAAAAACAGTAAAAGCTTCAGGCTGCCAACTACTCGTAAGCTATATAAAGCCAAGCTTTTCAGTCGTACTGTTAAAATAAGAGAAGTTTAGGGAAGGTCGAGGATTTGAGAGATGGAGGAGGAAGAAGATAAATTGTAAACATTAACCACATCATGAGCTCCCTATGTTGTCGTTTCACTAGTCTTTTTCCAATATATTTACGAAGTGCAATAAATAACTTTGGATTCAATCCTTATTGTTAACATTACTGGAAAAATAATTCCATGTTAACTGCAGTTAACTGGAATCCGTTACGACGTGTCACCAACAGTAAGTTTATTCAGGTATATACACAAAACACAGTTACATAGATTATCATACATAGCAGCATATATGTAGAGAACCCAGGCTAACCCAGAAAAGTCAGACAAAGTGACTTATTTCCATTGTGGTCCTTTTAACACCTTATTATTATTATACTATAAAGGAGATAATATCTTATTATTATACTATAAAGGAGATAATATCTCATATCTTATTAGCAGATTCAGTGCTACTGGGCACCTGATGTATGTAACACTGATGGCTCAGTGGTCTAGTACTCGGGTGCCGAGTTAAAGTATCGAGGGTTTGATTCCCGGCCAGTGCATTTTGGTTTGTTATACATACTCCTATTGGAAGACAAATTACACTGTCACACCAGGTTTATATGTTTGTGACTTAAGCTCACTGAGTGAGCGACACATCGACAATAAAGTATTTCATGTAACTGCAATTGTACCTCTTTATGAACGTTAGCTTGAGTGATACTAAAAAAAAATGTAGATTAATATAGCTGCGATTAGTTTTATTCAGCCTTAAGACTAGTGTTAGTACGCTAATGAGAAGAAGAGGAAGGTTTCATACCGATAACTGATTAAATACTCCAAAGATTATTGATACAGAACAGTCATATTTTGCAGCACGTTATAAACATGAATGAGTAACTAACAAGTTACCTGTTAAGTGTTGTTAGAACAAGACCCTTGTGGTTTAGCGCTTCTTCTTGATAATAATAATAATAATGTTAGAACAAGTGTAGTAACAAGTTACCTGTTAAGTGTTGTTAGAACAAGACCCTTGTGGTTTAGCGCTTCTTCTTGATAATAATAATAATAATGTTAGAACAAGTGTAGTAACAAGTTACCTGTTAAGAGTTGTCAGAAGGAGTGTCCACACGACCGCTGCTTCATCTGAAAAATACACCTGATGTTACCACAGTACTTGTAAGCCATCAGATGGTAATACCTAGTGCAAATACGTATACTAAAAATGTGTAACTCATTACTAATGCGCTGTTTGTTTCCTACCAAGGTAGAATGTCTCACACAACACAAACACATTCAATCATTGCTTATCTTTCAGAGAGATGCGCAGATCACACTGTTGGTCACACCATAGTGTGACCAACAGTGTGATCTGCGTGTCACAACAGTGTGATCTGGTGTCACAACTATGGTGTGTCTGGTGTCACACCATAGTTGTGACACCAGACACCAGCTGTAACACTGGTCATACCATGGTTGTGACACAAGCTGTAATACTGGTGGTCACACCATGGTTGTGACACCAGCTGTAACACTGGTGGTCACACCATGGTTGTGACACCAGCTGTAACACTGGTGGTCACACCAGCTGTAATATTGGTCACACCATGGTTGTGACACCAGGCACCAGCTGTAACACTAGTCACACCATGGTTGTGACACCAGCTGTAATACTGGTCACACCATGGTTGACACCAGGTACCAGCTGTAACACTGGTCACACCATGGTAGTGACACCAGGCACCAGCTGTAACACTGGTCACACCATGGTAGTGACACCAGGCACCAGATGTAACACTGGTCACACCATGATTGTGACACCAGCTGTAACACTGGTCACACCATGATTGTGACACCAGCTGTAATACTGGTCACACCATGGTTGACACCAGGTACCAGCTGTAACACTGGTCACACCATGGTAATGACACCAGGCTCCAGCTGTAACACTGGTCACACCATGGTAGTGACACCAGGCACCAGCTGTAACACTGGCCACACCATGGTAGTGACACCAGCTGTAATACTGGTCACACCATGGTTGACACCAGGCACCAGCTGTAACACTGGTCACACCATGGTAGTGACACCAGGCACCAGCTGTAACACTGGTCACACCATGATTGTGACACCAGCTGTAACACTGGTCACACCATGGTTGTGACACCAGCTGTAATACTGGCCACACAATGGTTGTGACACCAGGCGCCAGCTGTAACACTGGTCACACCATAGTTGTAACACCAGCTGTAATACTGGTCACACCATGGTTGACACCAGGCACCAGCTGTAACACTGGTTACACCATGGTAGTGACACCAGGCACCAGCTGTAACACTGGTCACACCATGGTAGTGACACCAGGCACCAGCTATAACACTGGTCACACCATGGTTATGACACCAGCTGTAACACTGGTCACACCATGGTTGTGACACCAGCTGTAACACTGGTCACACCATGGCTGTGACACCAGCTGTAACACTGGTCACACCATGGTTGTGACACCAGCTGTAATACTGGTCACACCATGGCTGACACCAGGCACCAGCGGTAACACTGGTCACACCATGGCTGACACCAGGCACAAGCTGTAACACTGGTCACACCATGGTAGTGACACCAGGCACCAGCTGTAACACTGGTCACACCATGGTAGTGACACCAGGCACCAGCTGTAACAATGGTCACACAATGGTAGCGACACCAGGCACCAGCTGTAACACTAGTCACACCATGGTAGTGACGCCAGGCACCAGCTGTAACACTGGTCACACCATGGTTGTGACACCAGCTGTAGCACTGGTCACACCATGGTTGTGACACCAGCTGTAATACTGGTCACATCTTGGCTGACACCAGGCACCAGCTGTAACACTGGTCACACCATGGCTGACACCAGGCACCAGCTGTAACACTGGTCACACCATGATAGTGACATCAGGCACCAGCTGTAACACTGGTCACACCATGTTAGTGACACCAGGCACCAGCTGTAACACTGGTCATACCATGGTTGTGACACCAGCTGTAACACTGGTGGTCACACCATGGTTGTGACACCAGCTGTAATACTGGTCACACATTGATAGTGACACCAGGCACCAGCTGTAACACTGGTCACACCATGGTAGTGACACCAGGCACCAGCTGTAACACTGGTCATACCATGGTAGTGACACCAGGCACCAGCTTAACACTGGTCACACCATGGTAGTGACACCAAGCACCAGCTGTAACACTGGTCACACCATGGTAGTGACACCAGGCACCAGCTGTAACACTGGTCACACCATGGTAGTGACAATTGACACCAGCTTAACACTGGTCACACCATGGTAGTGACACCAAGCACCAGCTGTAACACTGGTCACACAATGGCTATGACGAGGAATGTAGCCCCTAGCAACAGAGGCTAAGATTGTAGCTCCAAAAAGGAGTAAGACTGTACTCCCAAACAACAGAAGCTAAGTCTGTAGCTTCAGACAACAGAAGTACTGACCTGTTTCCGTTCGCCAAGCTTCTGTTGGATGGGAAACATGTAATACACGTAATTGGTGGTGGAGCAGCTCTGTGGCAGGTTGTGTAGTGGTGTGGGCCGATATTGGTATCGTAATTAATGAAGAGAGTTGGTAGAGCGGTAGCTGGGTGATGGTAGTGTGTGTGTCTGCCGCTCACCTTTCTTGGATCAGATTTCACTCCATCATACTGCCACTTACTGTGAAAGAAAATATTTGATGACAGAGTGCATTGTACACCTGCTGTGAGAATATTACTCACTTCCTGATCACAGAGTTTCTTACATCTGTTGAGAAAAAAAACAATTATTGTCTTAAGAAGGAAAATCACTATACACTAACCTGTTTAGGCTAATTAACAATAATGTGCGTTGATTTGAGAACAATAATCGACTCTAACCTATATTGAAATTCTTAGTAAGGAGTGAGAATACTAGAAAAATCTTAGATGAACTTACAGCACAATTCTATATTTCATTTTAATACCAATATTTGAAAAATAAAGACATTATAAAGTGCGTCAAGAACATCTAATTGGTCGCGTTTTGTTGGTAAAGTGACAAATAACCAAGCACCTTGTGAACCTTGAAAAATAGGTTGGACAAGTACGTGAGTGTGTAACTGGGACGGGCCTAGCATGGGTCAGTAGGCATGCTGCGGTGCTCCTTCCCTCTTACAACATGGGAAGGAAGTGGAGAAGCCTCTGAGGGGTAGCGGCGTAGGATGGGGCAGAGGGAGCGGTAAAAAAAAAAAGATAGATGGAGTAGAAGCAGATGATGTGGACGGAGTGTGAGGATGGGTGATTGCAGTGAGTGGAAGGTGAGGGAAGCTGGAGGGAGTGGTGGTGGGAGGGGATAGAATGTTGGCAAAAAGGTTAGACATGACTGAAGGAGAGGACATGTTACTTACGTTTTGGGAAATGATTAAAGTTAGCAGGATAAGGGCCAAAGCTGTTAGGCCACATAAAGCATTTACATCAGAAGTGATCAAGAGCACTTGCAACAGTAGCGTGTTTTGGAGCAGGACCTCTGATGCTCGGATTATTAGCACTTGAAGAAGTGGCAGACGAGAGTAATTATCTCTCATGTTGGGATTACTAACACTTGAAGCACTGGCAGACAGGAGTAAGGAACTCTCTTGCTGGGATTACTAGCACTTCAAGCACTGGCAGACAAGAGTAAGGATCTCTCATGCTGCGATTACTAGCACTTGAAGCACTGGCAGACAAGAGTAAGGATCTCTCATGCTGAGATTACTAGCAATTGAAGCACTGGCAGACAAGAGTAAGGATCTCTCATGTTGGGATTACTAACACTTGAAGCACTGGCAGACAAGAGTAAGGATCTCTCATGCTGCGATTACTAGCACTTGAAGCACTGGCAGACAAGAGTAAGGATCTCTCATGCTGAGATTACTAGCAATTGAAGCACTGGCAGACAAGAGTAAGGATCTCTCATGTTGGGATTACTAACACTTGAAGCACTGGCAGACAAGAGTAAGGATCTCTCATGCTGGGATTACTAGCACTTGAAGCACTGGCAGACAAGAGTAAGGATCTCTCATGCAGGGATTACTAGCACTTGAAGCACTGGCAGACAAGAGTAAGGATCTCTCATGATGGGATTACTAACACTTGAAGCACTGGCAGACAAGAGTAAGGATCTCTCATGTTGGGATTACTAACACTTGAAGCACTGGCAGACAAGAGTAAGGATCTCTCATGCTGGGATTATTAGTACTTGAAGCACTGGCAGACAAGAGTAAGGAACTCTCATGCTGGGATTATTAGTACTTGAAGCACTGGCAGACAAGAGTAAGGATCTCTCATGCTGGGATTATTAGTACTTGAAGCACTGGCGAACAAGAGTAAGGAACTCTCATGTATGGTAATATTACTAGCACTTGAAGCACTTGACAGTAAAGTTGCTAGGAGATGTAAAAGGCATGTGTCTTATAGAATATTATGAAGGATGAGATGTGAAAGATAAAACTTAATATAAAACACTTACAAACTTACTCGTTCACCTAGAAAGTATACTTATCTTCTCCATCCACCTAGAAAGTACACCTATCTTCTCCCTTACCCACCTACAAAGTATTCCTACCCTCTCCTCCACCCACCTAGAAAGTACACCTACCCTCTCCTCCACCGACCTAGAAAGTACACCTACCTTTTCCTTCACTCACCTAGAAAGTACACCTACCCTCTCCTCCATTCATCTGGAAAGTACACCTACCCTCTCCTCCATCCATCTAGAAAGTACACCTGCCCTCTCCTCCACTCACCTAGAAAGCACACCTACCCTCTCCTCCACTCACCTAGAAAGTACGACTACCCTCTCCTTCACCCACCTATAAAGTACAACCCCACCTATAAAGTACAACTACTCTCTACTTCACCCACCTAGAAAGTACACCTACCTTGTAACCATTCACTCAAAGTTCGCAAGTGTTGGGGTAACATTATATAAGTTATACTCACGCCCACATTTGCTTCAGGTTCTTTCCTCAGTCACGGTTCACCTGAAATAAAAAGATTACGCTAATATACATATTATATGCAGAACCACTGTGAAAAATAGTGAAATTCCAAGAACTTTCGTGATTTCTCACATAATCAAGGAACTGTTCCATGATAATGTGAGAAAACACGAAAGGTCTTGGAATTTCATCACTTTTTCCACAGTGGTTGTTCTGTACATTATGACATCACATGTTTACTGTCATCTTAATGTGTGTGTGTGTGTGTGTGTACAGTTAATATATATATATATATATATATATATATATATATATATATATAATATATATATATATATATATATATATATATATATATAAATATATATATTATATATATATGAATGAGATTTTCGCCTTATAATCGGTGATACACACGTAACAACATGTACCTTATATGCCACCTTTATATCAACAATGCATCTCTTAAATCTTCTGTACCATATTATGTAATAAAATATTCCTATTGGTAAAAAAAAATATTTGATAAGATGGGGTGGTAGGGGAAGTGGAATATTCAAACGGCTTCAGGAAGAAATCCAAATATTCTTCCTTGAAACCTTTTTATCCACTTCTCCGAGGCTATGGGTCCCACAATTTACACCAGAGGTGGACCCCATCCTATATATATATATATAATATATATATTATATATATATATTATATATATATATATATATATATATATATATATATATATATATATATATATATAATATATTTATATAAATATATAAATATATATATATATATATATATAAAGTGTAAGGACCTCTCATGCATGATAATATATATATGTAATATATATATATAACTTAGTGCTACTAGGAGGGAACACAACTTAGTGCCACTGTTAGCATACACAACTTAGTGCCATTGGTAGGAGGCACAACTTAGTGCCAATGGTAAGCAAGAGACTTAAACAGGTGTGAGTCTCTCAACACTTATTTCACTTTTCCAGGATACCAACACCACTTACCCAGAGACACCAACACCACTTATCCTGAGATACCAACACCACTTATCCTGAGATACCAATACTACTTATCCTGAGATACCAACACCACTTACCCAAAGACACCAACACCACTTATCCTGAGATACCAACACCACTTATCCTGAGATACCAACACCACTTATCCTGAGATACCAATACTACTTATCCTGAGATACAACACCACTTATCCTGAGATACCAACACCACTTATCCTGAGATACCAATACTACTTATCCTGAGATACCAACACCACTTATCCTGAGATACCAACACCACTTATCCTGAGATACCAATACTACTTATCCTGAGATACCAACACCACTTATCCTGAGATACCAACACCACTTATCCTGAGATTACCAATACTACTTATCCTGAGATACCAACACCACTTATCCTGAGATACCAACACCACTTATCCTGAGATACCAACACCACTTATCCTGAGATACCAACACCACTTATCCTGAGACACCAACACCACTTATCCTGAGATCCAACACCACTTATCCTGAGATACCAACACCACTTATCCTGAGATACCAACACCACTTATCCTGAGACACCAACACCACTTATCCTGAGATACCAACACCACTTATCCTGAGATACCAACACCACTTATCCTGAGATACCAACACCACTTATCCTGAGATACCAACACCACTTAACCTGAGATACCAACGCCACTTATCCTGAGACACCAACACCACCTATCCTGAGATACCAACACCACTTATCCTGAGATACCAACACCACTTATCCTGAGACACCAACACCACTTATCCTGAGACACCAACACCACTTATCCTGAGATATCAAACACCACTTATCCTGAGATACCAACACCACTTATCCTGAGATACCAATGCCACTTATCCTGAGACACCAACACCACTTATCCTGAGATACCAACGCCACTTATCCTGAGGACACCAACACCACTTATCCTGAGATACCAACACCACTAATCCTGAGACACCAACACCACTTATCCTGAGATACCAACGCCACTTATCCTGAGACACCAACACCACTTATCCTGAGATACCAACACCACTTATCCTGAGATACCAACACCACTTATCCTGAGACACCAACACCACTTATCTGAGATACCAACGCCACTTATCCTGAGATACCAACACCACTTATCCTGAGATTACCAACACCACTTATCCTGAGACACCAACACCACTTATCCTGAGATACCAACGCCACTTATCCTGAGACACCAACACCACTTATCCTGAGATACCAACACCACTAATCCTGAGACACCAACACCACTTATCCTGAGATACCAACGCCACTTATCCTGAGACACCAACACCACTTATCCTGAGATACCAACACCACTTATCCTGAGATACCAACACCACTTATCCTGAGACACCAACACCACTTATTCTGAGATACCAACGCCACTTATCCTGAGGTATCAACACCACTTATCCAGAGATACCAACACCATTTATCCTGAGACACCAACACCACTTATCCTGAGATACCAACACCAGTGCCATTTTAGGGCTTTTCAGTGGTAATATTGTATTATTCAGTGGTAGTATTGTATTATTCAGTGGTAATGTAATATTCAGTAGTAATAATGCATTATTCAGTGGTAATGTATTATTCAGTGGTAATATTGTATTCAGTGGTAATATTGTATTCAGTGGTAATGTATTATTCAGTGGTGATAATGTATTATTCAGTGGTAATGTATTATTCAGTGGTAATAATGTATTATTCAGTGGGAATGTATTATTCAGTGGTGATAATGTATTATTCAGTGGTAATATTGTATTATTCAGCGGTAATATTGTATTATTCAGTGGTAATATTGCATTATTCTGTGGTAATGTATTCAGTAGTAATGTATTATTCAGTGGTGGTAATGTATTATTCAGTACTAATATTGTATTCAGTGATAATATTGTATTATTCAGTGGTAATGTATTATTCAGTGGTAATATTGTATTATTCAGTGATAATATTGTATTATTCAGTGGTAATAATGTATTTTTCAGTGGTAATAATGTATTATTCAGTGGTAATAATGTATTCAGTGATTATATTGCATTATTCAGTGGTAATATTGTATTATTCAGTGGTAATAACGTATTCAGTGGTAATAATGTATTCAGTGGTAATGTATTATTCAGTGGTAATGTAATATTCAGTGGTAATGTATTCAGCGGTAATGTATTATTCAGTGGCAGTAATGTATTATTCAGTGGTAATAATGTATTATTCAGTGGTAATGTATTATTCAGTGGTAATGTATTATTCGGTGGTAATAATGTATTATTCAGTGGTAATGTATTATTCAGTGGTAATATTGTATTATTCAGTGGTAATGTAATATTCAGTGGTAATGTATTCAGTGGTAATGTATTGTTCAGTGGTAATGTATTATTCAGTGATAATATTGTATTATTCAGTGGTAATAATGTATTATTCAGTGGTAATGTATTATTCAATGGTAATGTATTATTCACTGATAATATTGTATTATTCAGTGGTAATAATGTATTATTCAGTGGTAATATTGTATTATTCAGTGGTAATAATGTATTATTCAGTGGTGATATTATATCTGGTAGTAATATTGGTTATTTAGTCAATTTTAAGTTTTCCCAATAATCTTTGCTACAGAAATTTCCAGCTTGACGACAAGTTTAACAACTGTGAACAACTTTACGCCAGTTTAACTATACTTTTATCTTGCTTTTACTGTCTGCTGACGCCCTGAACCCCTGCCGTGTCTGCTGACGCCATGACACCCATGAGTGTCTGCTGACGCCCTCATACCCTGCCGTGTCTTCTGAAGCCATGGCACCCTTCCGTGTCTGCTGACGCCATGACACCCTGCCGTGTCTGCTGACGCCATGACGCCCTTTCGTGTCTGCTGACGCCATGACACCCTGCCGTGTCTGCTGACGCCATGACACCCTGCCGTGTCTGCTGACGCCATGACATCCGTCCGTGTCTGCTAACCCTTATGTGACTATAGAAAGGGAGATAAGAGGCAGGAGGGAAGGGAAGGCAGGGGAGGGAGGGAGGGAAAGTGGAAGGAAGAGAAGATGGAAGGGAGGAGAAGGAAGGGAAGGCAGGGTAGGGAGGGTTAACGGAAGGAAGAGAAGGCAATAGATTAATGCCTGTTTTCTGGATAAGATATCGGGATGGCTAGCATTATTAGGTCCCTTTATTATATATATATATTTTTTTATTATATTTTTTTTTTTTTTTTTTTTTTTTTTATTTTTTTTTTTTTTTTTTTTTTTTTTTTTTTTTTGTCTTACCCCCCCCCTCTTTTTTTTCCCTTTCTAAATTTTCTTTTCGTTTAAAGTAATTTTTTTCTTTAAATGTTAATGAAAAAAATTTTAATTTTGCCCCAAAAAATTTTTAAAAACACCTAACCTTATTATAACAAAAGCAATTTAGTTTAGCCTAACCAAACCCAAATATATTTTAGATTTTTTTACAATAAATTTTAAAACTAATCAAAAACTGAAAAATATTTTTTTTGTTTGGCTCAGAATGATTTTGGGCAAAAAATTGCTACACAAATTTTCGCTTGTCCTATATGGGAAGAGAGCGTTGCTATTTAACCCAAATCGCAAGTTTGCCTATTTGGGACGACATATATAATATATAATATATAATATAAAATATTTTAATTATATTATTTAAAAATATTCTATACTGGGGGCTCCAACAAGTGGTAGAGGGGAAACCAAAAAATCGGATGTACCATCCACCCGGATAACCTACATCTTTAACATCAAATCTGTCCAGGGCCTTACCTATCCTGCCCAAAAACAGCACCAAACCAAGGCCATTTTTATTAATTTTAAAATTTTTTTTGTAAAAACCCCAAAAGTCATTATTCTTATTTTTCCTAGAGTGGTTTCTTTATTTATATATTTTTTCATTAGTTTTTTGTTCAGATGGAAGGCGTTCCAATTACACACACACACACACACACACACACACACACACA